GACATCGAGCCGTTGACCACCACTAAAGATGCAGAAATGCTGTCTGTTACTGAACACTTAAAGCCCAATCTGTAACTGTAAAAGAATTGTGGATTTTCATTTAAGGACTTTAAAAATACCATACAGTCTTTGGAAAAGATATGACAGTGGTCTTACCTTTCTTTTCCAGATATTCTAGTAGTTGTTACCCCAGTTTAGAAATAGCCAGGGCTTTTAAGGATAAATCACTATGAGGGCAAAACTGTAAACGGAAGTAATGTCTGAATTTAACTTCAAGGGTGAGTATGGCATGGGTTATGGTGTTAAAAATTAGGTCAAACCAAGAAATGCTTTTTTTATTCTGCTACTTCTGATTGTAGGTATCTATTATCCCACGTGGTAAAGGACTGGGTTATGCTCAGTATTTACCCAAAGAACAGTATCTGTACACCAAAGAGCAACTGCTTGACAGAATGTGCATGACTCTGGGAGGACGTGTATCTGAGCAAATCTTCTTTGGAAGAATTACAACTGGTGCCCAGGATGACTTGAAGAAGGTGACCCAGAGTGCATATGCGCAGGTATGTGCTTGAGTAAGAGGGTGGGGCTTTTCCTTACAGTTTTCCTTATCTGTCACCTACCACTAGTATTTTGAAGGGCTGCAATTTGATCAGGTATGTCCCTCAAAAGCCTAGTTTCGAAAAATATTATGGCTAAAAATTACGCTGTTGTTGTATCAAGATGCTGATGACTCAAGTATTTAATTATAGTCTTACGACAGGAGTCCATGCATTAGGCTTTGATTACTATCCTACATCTGCCCACAGGAACACATACGCTGCAGCTGGATTCAAACAATATGGAAATTTTATATTTCTTTTAAATGGAATTTAGTGCACAGATTTGATCATCTGATTCTACTTGTTCAATTGCCCAGTTTGAAGACCCAATTTTGATTCTCATGTGCAACTAAATCTAGAAAACCTTGTACTTAAGCAGTATTTGCTGTCAATTAAGGCTATGGAAATTAGTTTGTGTTTGTATCCTATTAACTAGCGTAGAGGAGTAATTTGAAGTCTTATCACTGCAGTGACTCACCTAAGTGCAGCTGTGTGCTCCACACGGGTAGGTGCTTTATTCCCCCTCCTGCATCAGCAAAAAAAGCTGTCCTTTTATAAGATACAGGGTGAGCAAGAGACGCTTTGGATGACGCTTCTCTTCCCCAGCACAACACTAACCCAGCCACCCCAAAAACCATTTGCTGGTCTCTGGTTTCCTTCTTGTTCACCCGGTTGACCACATTCGGCAACCGAAGGAACTAATATTCAGTAGTGAGTCAAGTGAGATAGGCATCATTTTCATCTTTGACGGGGTGTCTTGGGATGAAGTATAGCAGGTGATTTTTACATATGACAGACTAACTCTTCAAGACCCTCTACCTTAAAGATTAAGTTAACTTATTTATATAGGTGTGTGGAATATGCTATACTTCAGAAGCACTTTGAATTGGAAAAATGCTTATATTTCTGGTAAAGGAAGGGAGTGTTGCTGCATCATGAAGGCTGAAATGGGTTTTTTTCTGCGGTATCTTAGTACTTAAGCAGCAAAGCATTATGTATGTCACGAGTACACACCTTTAAATGGTGGCATTTGGGTGCTTCAGTTCAGTCATTGAAAAGGAATAAGTGAAAGTCAACTAAGGTAGTTTAGCTTAGCGGTAGTTGATTTTCACAGGAGGCATGGTTTTAGAGGAAAAAATCAGGTCATAGGAAGAGGACTTCCTCCTCTGTTTGGTTTACCAGATTTTTACATCCACATACTGCAAAATTTTACCCTCTCCTTCGATTTCTTTTTTTTTTTCTTCTCTTTTCCCAGATTGTTCAGTTTGGTATGAATGAAAAAGTGGGGCAGATCTCCTTTGACCTCCCTCGTCAAGGAGACATGGTATTAGAGAAACCTTACAGCGAGGCAACTGCCAGATTGATAGACGAAGAAGTACGGTCGCTTATTAACATCGCTTACGACAGGACATTAAGTCTGCTGACAGAGAAGAAAGCAGAAGTGGAGAAGGTGAGCATTCCAGTACTTTTAGCTGCCAAGTTCCAGGTGCTAAGCCGGAATCTGAATTGAATTGAACTGAATAGATGAAAAAGAGTGACTGTGTAACTATACGAGGAAGTTTGCTCAAAAAGTATTCAATATAATCTTGAGTATGTAAAGAAATACAAATCCCCTTTTGTGTGGGAACACCTCTGAGATTCTCAGAACGTGATTTAACATCCCTCCCCCTTTACACGGTCAGTATTCCTGTGCAGGGTTGGAGGGAAGAGTCTGTAGTAGATATACTAGACAAGTATGAAACTTAAAAAGCCCAAACACAGAACACCAAGATTCTAATTCATTAGGCTAAAAGAAGCTCTCTAAGAAGGGAAATGCGTATAACTAACAGTCTCTGAATTCCTTTTGAACTTGGTAGAAAGATCCTTTTCATTTCACAATCTTCCTTCCCTGACCCCTTGCTGCTTGTGGTCTGCCTCACTGCAGCTGAGGTTACCCGTGTGCATATGCTTTTCCTCCACCCCAGGAAGCCTGATACAGCAAAAGGATGATTTTCCAGGGTAGGCATCTGTTGTGGTTTAGCCCCAGTCAGCAACTGAGCACCACACAGCTGCTTGCTCACCTCCCCCAGTGGGATGTGGAGGAGAATTGGAAGAAAAACAAGAAATAATGAGAATAAATGAAATAATGATAATACTAACAGTAGCAATACTACTACTACTACTACCATATAATGAAAATAATGTAAAACAAGTTATAACTGCTCACTACTCCCCAGTGGATGCCCAGCCAATCCCTGAGTAGCAAGAGCCAGCAGAGCCAGATCAAGCCTGAGAGAAAGAGAAAGCTCCCTGCCCTTGCACAACGTATATACTGAGCATGATGTTTGATGGCATGTGATGTCCCTTTAGTCAGTTGGGGTCAGCTGGCTGGGATGTGTCCCCCTCCCAGCCTCCTGTAGACAAGAAGCTGGGAACACGGGGGCAGCATCAGAAACTGGAAAAGTCCTTGCCTTGATATAAACATCGCTTGGCAACAACTGAAAACATTAGTGTGTCATCAGTATTCTCAGCACAATTAAAATGTAGCCTCATACCAGCTACTGTGAGGAAGATGAACTCCATCCCAACTAAAACCAGCACTGCATCTGAGAGGCCTGCTGACAAGAAGACAAGGTCACCATCCCAAAAAAAGCTGACTGACTATGGCTTGTGCTGAGCAGAGCGCTCACTGACCAAAGGTTACAAGCTACACTCGTACAGTATTGTACGCGCTGGTATCTTACGGTGCTCTTTAGCCTGTAACCTGCCAGCAGCCCTGTTGAACCAGCTGGTTTGATAGGAAGGGAATGCTTGTTTTCAGCTGTAGCTTAATGTGGTGCCTCAGGAGCCTTTTAGCAGCAGCGAAGTGGTCCGTGGAGAGGGTGTTTGCCAGACCTCAAAAGTAGGCTTCAAAAATAGTGGGTTTCCTCCCTTGTGAGCATTTAGATAGCAAAAATCATGTATTAAGTGAACACTGAGCAACCTGTTTTGTTTTTTTTTTCTATCAAAACTTGGTCAGTGCTGAATTTGGTCCCAAAATGCCTTAAACTCCTCCAAGGCAGAGAGCCAGCTCGGGTATTTTGTGTGTGACATAACATATGGTTATTCCAGGTTGCCCTACGACTGCTGGAGAAGGAAGTGCTTGATAAAAGTGATATGCTAGACTTGCTTGGCCCAAGACCATTTGCAGAGAAGTCTACTTATGAAGAATTTGTTGAAGGGACAGGAAGCTTGGATGAGGATACCTCGCTACCGGAAGGCCTTAAAGACTGGAACAAAGAGCGTGAGAAAGAGAAAGAGGAGGCAACAGATGAACAGGTTGCTAGGCAGATCAGTGGCGGGCTACCGTTCTAACTGCAAAGTGTGTGGTTGGTGTTGACTTGCACTCTGGAAGAGAAACAAACTCACCTAGTTTGTCCTTCAAAACAAAGAAAAAATATTTATTCAACCAAACTGTATTAGGGATGGGTGGAAGAGTGCTCTCTTGTGATGAGCTAAGGATATTCTGCTCCCAATTTACATATGTCATCAGATGATCATCTTTCATTTGTCAACTGAAGGAACATACGTGGGATGTGAGCTGCAGTGGAATGCCAGAACCGAGCCTCAAACTTTGAAACCATTCAGGTTCATGCACAAACTTTGTGGCACTGGTCTCTTTTTTTAATAATGTATGTAAGCTAAAAAAAAAAAAAGAAAACACTTCGATTATTCATCTAAAGTGTACCTCTGTGACCTGCTTCAACAAAAAAATAATCATACAAAATGCGTTGTTGAATGTTCTGCCAGAAGTCTGGTCTTACCAAGTACTAGCTTTGCAAAACGCTTCACCTGGCCCTTTTCCCCTCCGCCTGTCACGTGGATTTTAAAGGAGTTTGTTTACGGAGAGCTGCCACGTAAGTTAACAGTGAAACTGGACACCCACTTCGATACCTTAAAATGTATTCATGGTTCAGTGTCTTTAAGTCTGAAACTCAGTTTGGCTCTGCAGTTTTACTAGTCAGTTTTTTACAGAGTTCTGTAAGATATTGAACATACCAATGTGTTGTGTAAATACAGTTTGAGTCAATAAAATCAGTACTTTTCTGAACAAAGCTTGTCCTCTCCTCACTGGTTTCTCAGTACAGAATTCAGACTAATACAAAACTTCCTCTTAGGTGTAAGAGTTTGTTAAATTGGGGTAGGGAGAGCGTACTCAGAATTACAAAACCAGCAGCCAAAGGTGCTAAATCAGACTGTCGTTTTCATGCTGGTTTGCTTACACCTAAAGCGCTGCTTTTTTTCTCTCTGGTTAGCTGAATACAGTTGTCAGAGTGAAGTCATCTGCCTGTCTGCTGCATGCAAAGGTTTTATCAGGTAGAGATTCCAGCTGTTCAAAACTTAACTGATGGTCTCCCTATCCCAGAAGAGAGGGAAGCATGGCTGGGGAGGGCGGGGAGGTGTTAAGTGGGGAAGAATGAGCCAAGTTTCTCCGCGGACAGCAAATCCTTCAAGGCTTATGCCTGGGTTGGGGGGGCGGCAGGTTAAGGGAGTAAGTAGTGACTGGTACCAGCGGTGTGTTGTGACATCCTGGAAAGCAGTAGGGTGACAAAGGAAAAAGCTGTTTCTGGAAGGTTAGACATGAGCTCTTTGCTGGAGTTATTTGAAGTAAATTGTTCATGGAAACTACTTTTGGGGTTTTTTTTACTTCACTATGAAACTGTTCCTGTTTCTGTTCCTGCGTGGCTTTACAGTGAAGAGGAACAAGGGAAGTGGAGCAAATACAGCAACATAGGGTGTATTTACTGGGCATTTTTAGTTGTCAAACACCGATTCTGCGTATCCCTGTTGGATGCATTGTTGTAGACTGAATGATAGACAGGAAAGCATTCTGAATAAAACCAACCTTCTCTTCCTTTATGATTGGAGTCGGAAGATAGAGTGGTTTATTGCAATCCTAAGCTTGTTTGATAAAACCTAAATCTTGCACACGTGGTGAAGCAGCGACTGACTGCTACGCGTACGTTCTAGTGCTGCACCTTGGGTGCTCTGTATTAACACTGCGTGCATTCTGTTCCCCCTGCGTTTAGCTGAACGCCGCTGGTTTGGAATAGGTGACCTGTAGCCAGGGCTGAGTAAACGTGTTTGTCATGAAGGTCAGAATTCTGCGTTTTCTCATTGTCTTTTTTTTTTTTTTTGAACAAAAAAAACCAGCAACCCCTCAAAAAAAAAAATCCAAACAAAACCAACTTCAACAAAAACCACAAATCAGAACCATCCACCCCCAAAAACACTAACAAACCCTCATCTAAATTTTCACAGTGGTGCTACCAGAATGTGAAAAAATCCTCTCCAGGAAACCTTTTCTCTCATTCCCTGTTTGTGCTGCCCGCTTCCGAATTTCACTTGTGCGTAGTGGCAGCGTGCAACTACTAAGCGTGTGATGAGATACAGGAGAGGCAAGTCCCTTTGTCCCCACTGTTCAGCGTTAGGTTGCACTGTGCGCTATTACCTCGGTGTTAAGATTTTGAGGCAGAAACTGTTGGAATGTTGGAATTGAAAGATAGGGAGGGAAAAAGCTGTTTGCCTAACCTGCTGCTTTGAAGAGGGCTGCTAGCCGCCTCCTACTCACAAATCTAAGGCCTCAGGTGCTTTAACATAAAGCAAGAAAATCAAGTTCAGTCCATGCTGTGGCTGTCACTAAGGCCAGATTAATTTTTGTTGCAAACACACTGAGCAGCCAGCACTGTGTCAGCTACTAGGGGCTTGCGCAGCACGGAGGGAGCCACCCCGTTCCCTGCTGCTCCCAGCGCTGGCAGAAGGAGCTGCTCCAGGCCCTCTTTCCCAGCCTGGCCCCATTCCCACCTTTTCCTGGGGAGATAGAAACGCAAGAGAAGAAATGGGGAGCAGTAATCTTGGGATGCAGGAAAATGGAGAGCCTTGGCTGAGCCAAGCCAAGGGGAAAAAAAACGAGGGGGGAAATTGAAAAACACATAGGGGAGGAATGGGGGGGGGGAAGCAAAGCTAGGTGGGACTCAGCCTGTGAAAGAGAAGTTTCCAAGGAAAAAGCAGGAAGCTATTTGAAAGGAAGCACAACTGAAGGAATTGTCCACCAAAGCTGTTGCTGAAGGAGTTTTATGTCAGGAGAGGAAGACGATTAGGGTTGGTGGACTGGAGAGGAACAAGAAGCATTTGTGCTGCCTGTGGCTTTTTTACTGCCCACGTGCAAGCTGGTCCCCTGGTGATGTTCCTACTACGGGTTCATCTCAGTCGGTCGGGTTTTGGCCCCTAAGATCAGCTGGAAGATCTGTCTCCTTGTTTTCCCGAAGAGGGCATTAGTTTGCCTCCCCCCACCTCCACGCTGTCTAGAAATTCACATCCAACCACGTGCCGAAGCCTGGTGGTGTGGTTTAACGTGACCACGAGTCAAAGCAGGAGCAGAGGCTGTAGTCTGGATTTTGAGTCAGCGTGTGAAAAGCAGTAACAAACAGGCTGGTTCACCGAGTGGTAACTAACTCAGCTGTTCCACAACTCCAATACTCCTTCCATTTTTAAAGTATTAATGTCTTTTACAGAGCAGTAGCATAATTTGGGCTGGGACCTGGTTACAAATTCTGTATTACAACAAAATGCAGATCCACAAGCTGTGAGATGGTGGATTCTACTGTGCCCAGAAGCAGCTACGCTAGTGCTTCAGCTGACAGGTCTGTGCCACCGCTGTACGATGGCAGGCTCTGAGCCCACAGCACGTTCTCCCCTCTCTTGAAGCTACTAGCCTGTCCTTGGCTAAAGCATCAACTCAACTCGTGTTTAATGGCTTTATTCCCCATGGATTTTGCTTTATATTGCACTAGATAATTAATTTCTCTTTACTGATTGTTGTAAAGCATCAACTCAACTCGTGTTTAATGGCTTTATTCCCCATGGATTTTGCTTTATATTGCACTAGATGATAATTAATTTCTCTTTAATGATTGTTGTGGTTTAGCCTAATCTTATGCTATGACAAATACATAGCCACAAGGTATCACCAGGTTTATAAAACATGTATTTAAAGGTGCTCTACTGCTATTCATAAATTGTTTAGGCATCGCTAGCCACTGCAAAGACTGTGGCCCCTGTGAATTTGCTGACTCTCTCATGACCCTTCAGAAGATCATCAGCCAGGCCCACCCGATCTCTGTCTGCACACCTATGCCAGTGTGGTTAGCGTGTTCCAACGATTGTGTCCCAGCCCATAAAGTCACTTTATATGAAAGTCTCGCCCTTGATTTAAACTAGTTTAATTCCATTTTTAGAATAAAATTGGGCAGACAGCTTCATCTTATGTGATTAACAGTTGCCTGGTTCATATACTTTATATAAATACTGTCTCATTCCCTGAATCCCAAACTAATAAACCATAACATCATCTTGTTAGGAGCAACGGCTCTTTGGAAATTATGTTTGTAAAGTGCCTTTTTAAGTATCGAGCAACACTTCCGCTTAGAAAGTGCTTCTGAAGGCGAGAAGAAAAAGAGCAAGGAGTTCCTGAAACCCTGCAAGTTTGGATTTCCAGAGGGTTTCCTCCTCTGTTTGCTTGTTTTGTTGCCTAGAAACTGACCTAAATAAGAGATTCCATGTAGACAGAGTGTTCTCTGGTAGAGGCTCTCTAATGGGGAAGGGCTGTTTCGTTGATACCAGCAGAAACGCAGAGCACGCACGCAGAGCGAATGCCCACCAGTCACTCTGCCAAGGCGTCGAGTGAGCTGCGTAGGACCGTCTCAGCCTTAGCGTAAGCAGATTAACTGCCGTTCATCCTTCCTCTGGCCAGTTGTTTCGAATATTGCGGATACTTTATTTGTACTTTAACCTTAAGCTGTCCAGTGATTTTTAACCCACCGTGGTAACAAGACATCCACAGCATCTATAGGTGTGGTGAACTTACAAACCTAGGTGGTGAGATCTATCGACACGTGGCCTACATCCCCTCTCCCACCACGTTCTGCAGAGTATCTGCGTTTCAGCTGTATGGGCTGCCATGTAGCACCAGTAACTGGTGACAGCCAGGAAAACAGGGCACCAGCAAGGTGCTGGGGTGCCACTTTAAACCCTAAGGGTCCTTCCGGAAGACATCGCAAATGGATAGATTTCGTATATGTCATCTGCGATTATTCAGCAGCAGGTGATGAAGTCACATAGCATAGATCCAGCCTGCAGCTCACTGGGTATTTAGATAGCATGGACTGCCCAAAACACTTTTCCTTGAGAGGATAGCAATCTTTTATTTTGTATTTTTTAGAGAACCAGAGTCAAATATCACTCTTTACAGTAACTGTACAGAATAGCTGAAAACCTTTTCTTCTTTTTGTTATCAATAAATTTTGTTCCTGGCAGTTCAGTATTGTACATTCGGTACAGAATGAATACTTCAAACCCACAAGATTTTTTTCTTCCTCATAATTGGATGAAAATAGCACAGCTCTATTTTGTAGATTTTCCTGCTTATTTCCTGTCTTCTCTGGTACAACTTTAGGAACGACAAACTTGACTTGGAAAAAAAAAAGAGATCCCAAACTGGTAATCCCTGTGTTCAGACTCTTAG